ACTCCAAGATCAAGAGTCACCTGCCCCATCAACTGAACCAGCCAGGTGCCCCTGTTTTTGTCATTATTCTTATTGTCATAATTCTGATGACTATCTTGTTACATTTATAATACTAAGAAGTTCATGGGCCAAATATAGAATGATAACCATATTTTATAAAGTTGCAGAAAGAACCCAGGACAATGATTTCAGTGTCTTTTTATTTGAATTATGTCAGCATAGAAAAAGACCACAATAGAGTCTTCCTTGTTATCGTGCACATTAACAAAGGATTCTTGCCCGAACAAGACATATTGTGTTTGATGACATTCAAATTTTCATCAGCAAAAACAAAAACAAAAACAATCATGACCGTTTTATAAATGCATACTCTAAGAAACAATCACTAGAAACTTAAGAGAACCTGTATCCATCACCAATAATCCCCACGCCTTTCTTTGAAATCCTCTGACCTCAAAAACAGCATCCTAAATTAGCATCATGCACAACCAACCACTAGTTTTCTATGTGGGAAACTACCCAAGTGGCTGAGATTGTACACTGTGGAGGTGTTGAGATCTGGGCTCAAATCCTATCTCCTCCACTTACCTGTCTGTGGGGCAGGTTACTTAACCTGCTCTAGCCTCAGGTGTCTTAATAGTAAAAATGGGGCTAAAGGAGTAACTAAAGCTCATAAAGTTGCTGCAGGGATTAAATAAGATAATACACATTAAGAGATTAGAGACTAACGTGTGTGTGAGTGTGTGTGTATGTGTGTGTAGAATGAGCACTGAAAAAATATTGATTATGTTGATAAACACTATCTTTTTATCTGTATTAGAAGTTTTTGTACTTTTTTGGAGAAACCTTTGTATCTCACTTAATTATTTATTTCATGACTTTGTAGGGCTACTAATCAATGCCAGTGTTTCAGTCTCTCTGATCCCTGGCCCTTGGAATCTGAAGCAGAAATAAAAGTACATATTAAGTACCCTGAGCAAGTTTGATATTTACAGTATACCGACTCCTTTGTAAGGCGGACACTCATTTATTTCCATTCTGAAACTTCAAGTTGTTAGATATTGAATTTTATTAGAGTAGTTTTCATAGGGCAGGGTTAACAGTTTGCAAAACTGATAAAAGAGATATTTTTTTATCTTATTTTTGTTTTAATTTGCATTTCTCTCATCACTGGTATGGTTGAGCATCACTTGAAATGTTTGAATGATCTGTTTCCATGCTTTGCCCACTCTTTTATTGGATAGTTTGTCCTTTTAATTATTACTGTTTACAAAGATTCTTTATTTTTATTGTTTGCTAGAATTCTTTATATTTGTTGCCTATAAGAATTTTCTTTGTTTATACTATCCTTATATAATCATATATATATATAGAGAGAGAGAGAGCCTGCTTAAGATTCTGTCTCCCCCTCTCTGCCCCTCCCCTGCTTGCTCTCTCTCTTTCTCAAAATAAATTAAAAACAAAAAACTTCAAAAAAGAAACATCTTGGTAACTATCCTTTTTAGTCATTTGTCTATGTGTGTATGTGTGTGTGTGTGTGTGTGTGTGTGTATAATTTATTTAAAATGTATATTACATGTTATTTTATAATCTGACTTTCCCCCATCTCTATATTTTGCACATATTTCTATGTCACTAAATACTTTCCTACAATATAATTTTAGTTTCTAGGTAGAATTCTATTATATGTCTATATTATAATCTATTTAATAATCTCTTATTATCAGACAACTTTTTGCAATTATTTTAAAAAACTAACTTGACATACATATAATTAGTTCTCTGAATTTTTTCTTTCCTGGTAGACTGCTGCCTTTTAAACCTTTCTTACTGCAGCTCACAGTGAGTACACAGTGCTCTGATTCAACATTCACCAGTACATATATGCTTGTGCTCACACAAAGAAGTGAAAAAATGTTGTGAAACAAAACTCACTTTCTGCTAATTTCTATTCTTTTCTGTATCATTTTATTAAAGAAATTCTGGTCCCAATCCACTAAATGTATTTCATGACTCATGGATGAGTTTTTACCCTCCATTTGGAAAGGAAGGAGGGGCCGTGATTGGCCCACAGTAGGCATTAATTTGTGTTGCATGAAGAGCCTCATGGCTAAATCCTTGTGTACATTCAGGCTGACCGCTCAGGCAGTGTATTAGGGTTCTCCAGAGAAGCAGAACCAACAGGACTCATATATACGGTTGACACTTGAACAATATGGGGGTTGGGGTGCTGACCCCCATACAGTCAAAAATCTGTACATAACTTTTAACTCCCCCCAAAACTTAACTACCAATAGTCTACTATCCACCCAAAGTCTTACCAGTCACATAACAGTCGATTAACATATACTTTGTATGTGTTATGTATTATATACCGTATTCTTACAATAAAGTAAGCTAGAGAAAAGAAAATATTATGAAGAAAATCATAAAAAGGAGAATATGTGTTTACAGTCCTGTATTACATTTATAGAAAAAAGTTCGCATGTAGGTGGCTGCACAATTCAAACCCATGTTGTTCAAGGGTCCACTGTGTATCTCCTATTGGTTTTATATCTATAATGTATACAAGGAGATTTATTATGAGGAATTGGCTAACCCAACTGTGGAGGCTGAGAAGTCCCACAGGCGACCATCTGCAAGCTGGACACCCAGGAGAGCCAGTAGTACAATTCAGTCAGAGTCTGAAGGCCTAAGAGCCAGGAGAACCTCTTAGTCCAAAGGCAGAAAAAGATGGAATGTCCCAACTTGATGAGTGAGGCAGAAAAGAAGAAGCAGGGGGAGGGGAGAATTCCTCCTTCTTCTGCCTTTTGTTCCAGTCAGGCCCTCAGCAAACTGTACATGCCCACCTACTTGCCCACATAGTGGAAACAATCTAGTTTTCTGTCTCTACCAATTCGAATGCTAATCTTATCCTGAAACACCCTCATGGACACACCCGGAAATAACATATAATCTGGGCACCCTGTGGTCAGTCAGGTTGACACATGCATGAAATTAACCATCACAGGTAGTATAGTGTATATAGTTAACTCCCAGGACTCTACTCAGACAGCATGAGTTTAAAGGCTGGCTCTGCCACGTACTAGCTGGTGGCCAAGGACAAGTGGCTTAACCTCTGTGTCTCATTTTCCTTACCTGTAAGATAATAATGCCTATTTCAAAAGATTGTTATGAAGATTAAATGAGCTAATTTTTAGCACTTAGAACAGCACCTGCCATACAGTAACTAATATGTTTTTATTAAGTAAATAAATAGGAGAGGCGTCTGGGTGGCTCAGTCAGTTAAGCATCAAACTTTGGCTCAGGTCACAATCTCGTGTTTCGTGAGTTTGAGCCCCGCATCGGGCTCTCTGCTGTCAGCACAGAGCCCACTTCAGATCTTCTGTCTCCCTCTCTCTCTACCCCTTTCCCACTCATGCATGCTCACATGTGTTCTTTCTCAATAATAAATAAACATTAACAAAAAGTTAAACAAACAAACAGGAAATTCCTGGAAGCTGAGTGGTTGGATCAAAGGGTATGTAAAAACATAAGACTTTTAAAATATGCTGGTATACCTGTTGTTATAGACATATTGATATACCCATCCTTATCTCTTCCATCCCTTCCAAAGACTGAACCAACTTTTATTCCCACAGGCCATAACAGACTTGTGGAAATAGTGTACTAAGGTGTTGGCTCACTGCTCTTCACTTTCCTGAGGGTGTGTCGGGCTGGTTAAGACTTAGCCGGGTGGTTGACTCTTTCAAATAGTGGGAGAAGGGAAGCAGCAGACAGTCGCTCACAGACAGAGAGAGGGCCCCCAAGGGGATGCCCACCCACACTTGGCAGAACCCTCTGGCAGAATCATGGTAGGCAAAACCCCAGAGATACTCTGCAGGCTGGGCAGGAGGATCTAGCAGATGCTTGGGGAGTGGGTAGAAGGTAGGACTCCCAGGCAAACATTCCTCCCTGGGGCACATATTTCCCACCACTGCCCTTGCCACACGGCTACTTCATTCTAGCTCTAAAACCCTGACTCAGATCTGCCAGGTGCACCTAAATCTTATTTAGTCTGTGGCAAGTATATTTTCCCAAGAGCTGAGTTGTTTTGTGAAAACTGGGTGCCCACCTAAACTGTACACACATGCACGCACATCGCGCGCACACACACACACACACACACGCACAGAGATGATAGCTTTCTGTTTTAGCATTTGGTGAAATGCACATACGACTCTAGCCCCATCTTGCTTACAAAGTCTTCCCTGACAACTGCAGCCTAGGTAGATCGCTCCTTCCTCTGAGCTCCCACACCAATTCTAGGCATTCAGGATTCAGTAACTTAGTTATATGCTTGTCTGTCTGGTCCTGGAACTGTCTCAGGGCAGTAGTTCATTCCCCCAACCACAGTTGTAACTTGTTTGAAATTAACCACCATGTCTTAAACATTTCTTTTGGATCTCTCACTGGCTTGGTTGTTAGTAAATAGTCAATGATTGGTTGATCCAGGTATGAATTGCATAGAATTTGCACTGAAGTGAAATTACATTAAGAAAGATAAGTTTTCAGGGCACCTGGGTGGCTCAGTCAGTTGAGCATCCGACTTTGACTCAGGTCATGATCTCATGGTTCATGAGTTTGAGCCCCATGTTGGGCTCTGTGCTGACAGCTAAGAGCGTGGATCCTGCCTCAGATTCTGTGTCTCCCTCTCTCTCTGCCCCTCCCCCATTCCTGCTCTGTCTCTCTCAAAAATAAACATTAAAAATATATATATTAAAAAAAAGAAAAATAAGGTTTCCAACTTTCACAAACTAAATTAAACCTGGATCAAATATTGACATATTAAAAATTAAACTACTAGAATAAAATATGGTTGAATTTATTTACAATTATGGAATGAATGAAATCAGTCCAGCCTTTCTAGATAGGACACAAGCCCAGAAGCCATGAAAGGAAGAAAAGATAGATACATTTGATAACATAAAAACATTTTTAAGCTTCTCTATGGCAAAGATGTTTTTAATTTATGAGGAATATGTACAGGTCAAGAATGATGATGAAAAACCTTCCATCCAACCCCTAAATTGTAAGAGGGTAGAAAATGGCCAAATTTCCTCCTTCTGACCTTTGTTCTTCACTCATCCACAAAAGATTATTTCACCTCAGCTAAAATCTTGATCTTGCTCCCACTTCAAACTTTGTCTTCGTAGGTATGTCTTCCTCCTTTCTTCCCCTTTCTCTATTTTCCTTTACACGCTGATCCTTGAATATGCAAAAAGTGAGGGGCTTTGTGGTGGTGCTATAGGGAAAGAATAGTTTTCTTTGAACTTGCAGCTGTTGGCAGAACTATTAGACAAGTGACTCTCAATGGGTACCCCAGCCACTTACGATGTCAGAGTAGCAATTATTGCATGGTTGTCAGAGGCTACTGCCTCTGGGGCAGGGTGGCTAACCTTTCCCGAGCGGCCTGCTCTACCCTGAAGTCAGTGTATTAGATGTTCCATCGAGACTTCTACTATAACACTATAATCTTGGGAAACTTGTAACATCAGAAATTTCATGCAACACCTCATTTTAGGGTGAAGAACTAAAGGAGAAAATCATGCATCAGTTTTTAATTGTGCGTTTGCTTTCTAGGTCTGATTTTATTCAGAACAACAGAATCAAACCAGGAATGTATTTTTTTTCTCCTTAGTGCAAAGAGAAAACAGTCTTATTAATGTTGCCAAGCAATTGAAAAAGGTCTACTGTTTAGAGAGAAGATGCTCAAGACAGAGGAGGAGGCAGAGGTGAATAGATGAGCTGTGTTAGATGGTATTTTTGAGGATATCATTAATGAGGATGATGTATAAATAAGGAAGTGGCTGAAATTGATCTAAGTTCATTTTAGCTTCTTTGGGAACACCTTAAAAAGTATCATTGTTTATCAGGCGGAAAAGAAAAGTCGATAGTGAAAGAGAAGCTTATCTTTTGTAGAGTATAAACTATTACAAAGAATAAAGAGGAATTAAAACTATCTTGTTAGAGTACCTTTAGAAATGCCCAAGTCTTGACATTCTGATTATTTCAAAAAGCACTGAAAAGACACAAACATGCAAAAAAGGATGCCTTTTTATTCTTTTAGCATTTCTTTTTTTTTTTTTTTTTTTAGACAGGAAGCAGGATTTATTGGTGGGCATGAATGGGGAAGGGCAGTGCTGAAGTTCTCATGAGTAAAGAGCCCGCCATTTGTCCAAGGGGCCATGATTAGTGATGTATTTTACCCCACAGCCGTCTGGGATGGGCTGCTTTTGAGCCACCATGTCTTCAAATTCATCCGCATTAAACTTAGTAAAGCCCCACTTCTTGGAAAAGGGGATCTTCTGGTGGCCAGGGAACTGAACTTGGCCCTACGTAGGGCCTCGATCACATGCTCCTTGTTCTGCAACTTGGTATGGATGGACAAGATGACTTGGCCAATGTGGACCCTGGCCACTGTGCCCTGGGGCTTTCCAAAGGCACCTTACATACCTGTCTGGAGCCTAGATTGGAGAAAGCATGAGGCCAAACCTCAATGTCCACCAGAAAAAAAACTGTCTCCAAGGTCCCTCAGGGCAACCCATACAACCAAGAGGCTGCATACACTACTGAGGAGGCTGCTGTTCACAGCCATTGCACACTGGGCCCCACGAGGAAAGAGCACAGTTAGCTTAATTGGCTGTAGATCCTTTAGCATTTCTTTAACATATTCTAGAAGTGAAGTTTTTCTCATTTTTATCTAGGAAATTTGGAAAAGAGGGTTGTGTTTTTGGTTTTTCATTATAAATATCACTTGTTTTGTTTCCATGCACCTTTATGCAAGATGAAAGGCCATGTTTATACATAACATTTCGTTCAAGGGTATGGAAGATTTTTTTTTAAGTTAATTTATTTTTAGAGAGAGATTGCACACAAGTTGGGAGGCAGAGAGAGAGGGAGAGAAAGAATCCCAAGCAGGCTCTGCACTGTTCATGTGGAGCCTGACATGGGGCTTGAACCCATAAACCATGACCTAAGCCAAAATCAAGAGTGGGACATTCACCTGACTGAGCCACCCAGATGCCCCTGGATATGGAAGATTTAAAAATAATAGAATTCCGAGGTGCCTGGGTGGCTCAATCAGTTAAACATCCAACTTAGGCTCAGGTCATGATCTCGTGGTTCACTCATTCCAGCTGAGCTCTGCATCTGGCTCTGCGCTGACAGCTCAGGGCCTGGAGCCTGCTTCGGATTCTGGGTCTCCCTCTCTCCATGCCCCTCCCCCACTCATTCTCTGCCTCTCTCTCTCTCTCTCTCTCAAAATAAATAAACATTAAATTTTTTTTTTAAATAATAGAATTGCAGTTTGCTAAAGGAAGACATAAGAATGACAGGTCATCTGATGAGTCTCAGGCAGAATTGCAGGGATAACTGTTCTAAACACAAGGAGTTTCTTGGCTGCCAGAGGGAGTTTCCAGGCCACACATCAACCAGCTCATTAATGGTTGTTTCCAAAGGGTTCCATTCAATCTGGTTAATATAAATACTCCATTATTTTTACTATTTGGAAAGTAAACATATCAATATTGAAAAATATGATCAATCATATTAACAATACTTCTATATGGCCTTATGTTAATTGGGAAAAAAGTGGGATTCCTTTGCAAATGATATAAATATCTTGAAGATATGGATTTTACTGAATCACTAAAAGAGATAAATACATGAAAGGAAAAAATGAAATACAAGCCAATGGAGATGCATTCGTGGAGGAATGGATAAAGTTAATGGTGTTATTTGCTTTAAAAAATTTTACTGAGAAGAGTCAAATAACTCTGTTTTGACTGACCCAGGAGGGTATCATAGTTGGAGCGAGATTTCGGAACCTGGCAGAATAAGAGAGGAGTAGTTGGTGGATTCTTTGGGACTCATGGCCATTAAATGCTTTGTGACTCTGACTTTTTAAGTATAAATGGGAGACTATTCTGTTTTTAAATGTTTATATATTTATTTTGAGGAGGGGGAGGGGGACAGACAGAGAGGGAGAGGGAGAAGCCCAAGCAGAATCTCAGCATAGAGCCCAAAGTGGGGCTTCATCCCATGAATTGTGAGATCATGACCTGAGCTGAAATCAGGAGCTGGAGGCTTAACTGACTTGAGCCACCCAGGCGACCTGGGAGACTATTCTTTTAAAAATATAGGCAACTATTGCTTGAAACATCTCTTTCTCTCCGTCTCCTGAAGATAGTTTTGATATTGGTATCAAAATTTGCTCATGGACAAATTTGTCTTCATGTTTATAGTCACAATTTAAGCAATTGTGCCTGGGACAATTCTGTCTTACAACATGAAAGGAGATAAACACGATCTGAGTATGGTGGGCATTTAGACTAACCATCTGAACTTCCTTTGCTATTGTAGAGGCTGCAGTGTTATCACATTAAAGTATAGGACTGGGCAGGTGACAAATTTAAGAGCTAGACTTGGGTCTGACCTGGATCTGGGGCTGCTTAAACAAAAAGTTTAAGAGAATAAGAGTTTCTATTGCCCTGCTCAAGAAGCTCAAGTCAAACCTGATACTTCTGCTATTTGACCTACATACCAAGATATATGGTTACATCAAAATCCTTGTTGACAACATTCACTACTTACTCTAGGACAGGTGTTCCTCACCAGGGATCAAGAAACTCTTAAGGGATTCAGTAAATTCCCCGAAATTATATGCAAAAATTGATGTGTAGATGAGTGTAAGTGTTTTTCTAGGTATTGTTCATCAAATTCTCAAAGGGGCAGTGGTCCCAAAACAAAAATAAGAACTGCTTCTCTAGAAGGGAAAATTTCCCCAGGATTTTCCAAATGAACACAATTCAATAATTTCTGGCTACTTTTTTCAGAAGAGTTGAGTTGAACAAGTTAAAGCTTCACTGTATTTTCCTTTTTGTATAATTTTCATTGCATAAAATTACAGAACAGTATTTTTGTTCATCCAGATTTAATCTTTTTTTTTTTTTAGTGTGTGTTAGTTCACTGGTTACAAATGAAATTCATGTTTAAATTTCTATTTAAGGGGTGCCTGGGTGGCTCAGTCAGTTAAGCATCTGACTTTGACTTAGGTCATGATCTCATGGTTCATGAGTTCGAGCCCCATATTGGGCTTGCTGCTGTCGGTACAGAGCCTGCTTCAGATGCTCTCTCCCCCCGAAACAAATAAACATTTTTCAACAATTCTATTCAAATGAAAATGCTATTGCATACTGCAGTATTCTATTTAAATTCTAGCTTTTTTAACTAAAATATTTCAAAGACCATTTCAGTAAGAAACAAAACTATAGCTTTCTCCCAACTTAGGGAATACAAAATGATCAAACTTTTATCACTGAAAAGTACTTTAGAATTCTAGTCAATCACTTAAAAAGTCTTAAAAAAAGGTACAAATAATAACTCAATATAAGAGATAAAGTGGAATAATAAAAATGCTCAATTAAACCCAAAGAAGGTAGAAAAGGAGGGTATACAAACTAAGAAGTAGTACTCAAGAGAGAGAACAGCTAGCAAGATGGTAGAATTTGTGATACCAACAATCACTTAAAAGTGAATATCTAAACACCAGTTAAAAGACAGAGATGTAAATTTTTTTTAATGTTTATTTAACTTTTGAGAGAGAGAGAGTAAGACAGAGTGTAAGCAGGGAGGGGCAGAAAGAGAAGAAGACACAGAATCCGAAGCAGGCTCCAGGCTCTGAGCTGTCAGCACAGAGCCTGATGCAAGGCTTGAACCCACAAACCGTGAGATCATGGCCTGAGCCGAAGTCGGTCGCTTAACTGACCGAACCACCCAGGCGCCCCAAAAGACAGAGATTTAGACTGAGTAAAATAGCAAGACCCAATTACATGCCATCTATAACAAACCCACTTTAAATGTAAAGACTAAGATTGAAAGTAAAACAATAGAAAAGTATAACATGAAAAGGGTAACTAAAGGAAAGCTGGAGTAACTATACCAATTTCAGACAAAATAGACTGCAGAATCACAAACGTTATCAGGGTTTTATGATCAATAAATAAAGAAGTCAATTTGTAACAGTCCTAAATGCATATGCATCTAGTTGTAAAGGTTTGAAATGCATGAGGCAAAACCCGGCAGAAGTAAATAAAGAAATAGACAAATGTGCACTTACAACTGCCGACTTCAACCCCTCTCTACGTGGTCGATAGAACAGACAGAAAATAAAGAAGGATTGAGGTGACCTGGACAGCACTAGCCAGCAACTGGACATCGTTGACTTTTATAGATCGCTGCATCTGACGACAGTGCCTACTGCTCTAGTGCACGTGGAACAGTCACTAACATACATCATATTCTGTGCCATAAAGCAAACCTGCATAAAGCTAAGAGAGTAGAAGTCACACAGAACATGTTCTCAGACCACAGTGGAATTAAACTAGAAATCTACAATAAAAAGATGTTTGGAAATTAAACCACACACTTCTAAGTAACACATGGGTCAGGGAGGAGGTCTCCAGGGACACTGATAGCACATCTGTGTGTAGCTGGGACTGCGGGTGGTGTGAGGGAAGCTGGCATGGCCGACCAGTGATGCGGAAGCCAAGGCCAAACCCTTAGGCCTCTCAGAGAAGGAACACTATGAGAAGTGGGGACGAAGTTCAGCAAGGGGACATTGTGGGTGTAGGTTGGACACTGGGGTGGGAGAACAGTGTATCGAGAACATTTGGGGCCCCTGTGCTGTTGTTCCCAGCATGACTGCCCAGCTTTTCTTCCCCTAAGTCCTCCACTGTAACAAATGCAATGATTTTCTTGGGCCAGATGTGGAAACAACGTCAAAGGGCCTGGCACAGTTGCAGTGGAGCCCTCAGTTCCGAGCTTTTTGCTTTTGATCCCTTCCCTTCGACCCTCAGAGCATCTCAGACTCTGCTCTCCCCACTCTAATCAAATCACAAAAATTACAACTATGGTTTCTTTACTACATGGCAGGCACTATACTAAGCATTTAGTAAACATTGTTTTCTTTAATCCTCACAAAAAAAAATCCTTGTCAGGGAGATATTCTCATCTCCATTTCACAGAGGTGTAAAATGAGGTGCAAAGAGATTGAACAGGCACACAGCTGCCAAATGGCGAAGCCAGGGTTTGTTTGACTCCATCTTGTCCGATTCCTAAGACTGTCAGTACCCGTGATGTGCTGCTTCCCACTGTGGGTGCTCACTTCCCGGCTGTTAACTTTGCAATTGTGAGTGTCTAAGAACACAAAGGTCTGAGAGGATCTGAACAGGAAGCTTTTGCCTTCCTTGGGCAGAAATTTAAATCATTAAGAAGGCCCAAGGAGGACTTAGCAGCTGTTGGGGCAGCGGTCATATTTAGAACGATTTAGACACACATTTATACTATCATCACTAATGTATGTCTAGATTTAAAAATTCATAGCCTTGCCCTCTTCAGTGGGCCTTCTCATTTGACTCTTCCTCAGTGGGCCCCTGGGACAATACACCAGCAGCATGGAGGAGAAACTCAGTTTAGACGTGCATTCTTCAGGTTGGGACTTCTGTGACTACCCACAAAATATTGGGATTAAAAGTAAAATGAATCATTTAAAAATCTGTAGTCGCTCTTCTCACCAAACAATAAAAATATTGAGGGAAAATAAGGATGCTACACTGGATAGAAAAAT